CCAGTATTTAACCTCGAAAGAAGTAAAGCTGTATCAGTACTTAACATCGAAAGAAGTAAAGCTGTACCAGTACTTAACCTAGAAATTAGGTAAGAAATTAGGTTGTGAAATTCCTAAACCTACCACTATCTTTTAACGTGACAAATGGAATAACATCATATTTAAGAGATACTTTTAATGGTAATAAGTGAATATTGTGTTATTATAAAAAATACAAAAAGTTAAATCTTTATCAAGTTTATTTTAATATCAAGAGTATAATTTATCTCTGGTATTATTTTAACTTTGACTTTGCAATGAAAAAAATCTTAATGTTTTAAAGACACATAGATAGAAAGTACTTAAAATATCAGCTAAAATGCAATGAAAATGTTTAATCATTGATTAAAAATGACACAAACTGATCCTAAAATTCATAAGAATAGTTTGTCATACTGATTATACACTTTAAATAACAGTTTAACCTATTAGTAATATTATCTAATTATGCTTGAAACCTCAAAAATGCTAGAACTTAACATTTACGTACAATCGATATATATGATAACATAATGATAAAAATTAGTAAAAAATAAAGGTTCTTATTGAATATTTAAAAATTTAAATTTTAGCTTCGCTTTCCCTATTTCAGATTATACTTGTGCTTGTGGTATTCATAACAAGAAAATATGATGTAGTTGTAAAAGAAATAACATGGCTTTGTTCTGTTAATCAAGTGCGTTGTTTTGAAACACACAATATTTTAAACTAAATCGTTCTACACATTTGAATTTATCATAGGATTAAAAAAAACTGTAAATAATGATTTCAGTTAAAACTTGCTTGTGAAAATATATTATTGTGTCACTTTAAAAGATTTAACGGTAGAGGAAAACCAAAACATAAATTATGAAAAAATATTGTTACACACATTACCTTGTCAGATAATGATTAGGTAAGCATTGTGGTTTTAGGTGTATCAGTTTTGTAAGTCTAATAAGTTTGCTGGTAGTGATTGATTGGTGAGAGAGGATATAGCTAAGATGTGCAGGTTTCAGTAATCGTCTGCTAACATGTTTTATATTACCCAAATACTGAAGAAAACTAAATAATAGTAATAACTGCAAGTCCCCAATTACTGTTTCATAATGATATATTGTTAAAATAATTTCAATTTAAATTCCAAATGTTTATAAATACATTTTAAGATAAAAACAGTTGTGAACAAAATATAAACTGTTCCAGTTTCAAAATCTAGCATAACACTTATCAAGATTATCCAATATTAAGAAGATTCAAATAATTTATATTACGTCTTACTATAAGCCGACGTGTTATAGTAAAATATATTTGTCCTAAAGTGTTCTCACAAGAGCAGAACACTTGATTTTTAGTGGACCACTATTCTCATTTTGATACAATACCAAGCAGCAATAAGGTGTGTTTCTCTTGAAATAACATGTTAAAAGCCTAATACACTCATTTAACAATGAAATAGGTTGTTTCTGAAATATGAAGGGAAAAAATACTTATACCACAAAAAATGGTAAATGACAAGCAACTGATTTTTAATGCACTCATCGTTTCAGATCGAGAAGCCTGTCCTCTGGTGATTTTAAACAAAGCGTTGTGAACATTAGAAACATCTGTTTACCATTTCTTTGTATACGTTTCTTTTTCCTTTACATGTTGCTTTTGTTCCTAAAGCAACATGTCAGGTAAATACTAACTAATAACGATGGAAAATACTTGGTTAATTAATCAAGCTAATTAGTTTCCAATGTTTCCAGGAAATTCCTTGGCCATGTTAGATACTTTGTTGTTTGTCTTGGTCCTTGCACTTCACGATCTCATTTTATACGAAATTACATATTTTAGAACGTAAGATATAGATTTGAGATTAATATTACGCTTTTTATACAAGATATATTTACGTTACTTCGTTGATAAGTTGTGAACAACTTATGGACATAAATAAAATAACCAAAAATAAACTAAACATTGTATTCATGTATATATATCCAACACTGTATTACAATAAAAAGGCATCATCAAGTCATCACTTGATCATCTTCGTTACTGAAGTTCACTAAATCAATACGAGATAGTAAGAGTATAAATTTTCGGTTAATTAAAAACATATCTGTTTATTCGTTTACAATGTTCGCACAAAGCTACCCAAGGGCTATCTATGTATGACAGCACTATGTGTAGTTTTGAATTGATAGACTAGAAGAGAAAATAGCTTGTCAACAGTGCCAATCACCAACCCTTGGGCTGTTCTTATCTAACCGAGCAGTGGGATTTGGTTCTAACTCTTATAGCACACTAACAGCTTCAAAGTGCTCAGTGCGATTTTGTGGTAAGAGGACGCGAGTCTGGACTCATTAACCATAGGGCTACGCCTAGCCCATTAACAAATGGGATTGTAACTTTTAATCATTTGAACTAAAACAGTGAAATTACAAAAAAAGTGCAATTATAAACAAATGATTTTCATTACCAAAGATCTCCCAACATGCAGCGAAAGGGATTCATGTGCCTTTTTAAATCAATTATACGACTGTATCTTTGAAGACGTTACACCACCCTAAGGAGAGTGTTGTTTTTAGGATTTCTATGCCTTTCAATTTATTTACGAGTGGAATAATGCGTTAAGTCGAACGTCACACTCACATACATATACTATATCCATCTGGAAATAATTTTATTAAATATGCACACACACACATATACAACACACATATATATATATATATCATAATATCCTCGTGGACGATTAAAACATATGACGTCAAGTGAAACCGGTATTACAACGGTTTAGTCCCTTCTTTATTGCAAGGTTTGACATAAAAGTTCATAACCTTATTTATTTATTTATTTTATATTATATAACGTGATTGGCTTAAAATTCAAACAAACTTTAATATTTTAAATCAATTCTAAATTTTCAACACAAATGAAGTTCACACTTAAAATGTTATCATTTAAATTGAATATAAAACTCCTCAAAAATTTGATTTCTTTACTTTATAAATTTGCAATAAATGGCCTTTGTAGGTTTTTTATTGTTCTAAGCTTTATTCATAAAATCTTAACAAGAGGCAGAAACCTTTGCGCACTCAAGCTCTCGTATTAACTGATGGTGGTACCTTTGTTGAATTAGTAGTTTGATTTAACGTATAGGATACACAGTGTTGGAAAAATTCCTCCTTTCATTAGACAAACTGTTAATTTTACACTCATTTTAACTTTATCTTAATGTTTATCTAGATATAACAGGAAGATATTATACATATATTAATTTAGATAATTCAGTAGCATATTTTGAACTGATTAACTCGCATTCTCATTTTGGAAGGAATGGTGTAATACGTGTTCGATTAATTTCAAAATATTTTCAATGTTTCAACCTCCTTTCGACCCAATCTTTTCCTAAACCACGTTTGTTGTGTTGGAAGTTAATCACAAAGCTACACAATGGGCTATCTGTGCTCTGCCCACCACGGGTAGCGAAACCCGATTTCTAGCGTTGTAAGGGGGGGGGGGGCTAAACTACGTAAACTCGAATTTATATCTAAAGAAGAGAGCTGAAGAATTTCTTTATTTTTATTTTCCTTTACTACTTTATGCTTTAAGAACTTTGCGCAATGAATACAAACTCATTGTAAAGAGAAGAACCTCAAGAGGTTTTACTGTCATGATCTAATCATCAGGATATGACATGAAGATTCGTCATAATTTATCAATCTATGTTCCTGTTACTAACATGAGGTGAACTGATAAGCTAAGAAGAAACAGTGTATGATTGTAATTAATGTTTAGTACTTCCTTCTGCTTGTCACATTGAAATTGTTACTCCTCTGAAAATATTCACTAGTTCCTTATAAATAAGCCATTTGAATCGTCGACATGTCTTTTTTAGACCTTATTCTCATTCATCATGTTTTCAGAATGACTTTTACAAAATTTACAACATTTTATCAACCTTTAGCAAAGACCCTGAAAATGTCAAACAAAGACTAATTTTACAGAACCATAAAGGTAAAGTCCTGCCTTATTTCTAACAAATTAAGGGTAAACTTTTAGCTGAAACAACAGTTATGGTTATTTAGATTCCCGGTTTCTGTTTTTCATATATTTTCTGTAACTTTTCTTGTGAAACGCTATGTCTGAAAAGTTTCTTATATGTTCTACCTTTTTTAAACTTTCAACCACTCCTATGACTTCTTCCTGGTTTATGCAACTAAAAACAGACCTAATAATCTTTACCAAAACATCATTTGTAGCCCCCAAAAGGCCAAGAAAACACTATCAGAACATTGACAATGAATGTTTGAGACGCTTCATAATTTTCTTTTATAAATCAGTATTCGCCGTAAGTAATTGTATTAAACAATATATGATGATACTGAGGTACTTCTGAAAAATATAACTTGAATATCGTAAACTACAACATAATATCATGTAAATTCAGACTTTATGGTATTAATAAATATGTCAATTGTAATACGTTTATGAAATAGTTGTGCATTATATTTTTTTCGAATATTTTATATATCAGATTCATAGAACCATTTAATATCAGCTTCAATATCATACTGGAAATTAACGGTAGGTGGTATGCGATGAAATGATATATAGGAACTATTGTTTTACTTCACCAATGACTTGATTCAATATGATACATCAGACAATCTGTAGAACGTGTTTCACACTACTACCAGAAGACAGATCATTTGTCTTAAGACCACGTTTAATAGTTCTATTTATAAACTAATATATAGTTTACATTAATAGTTGTATATGCTTTATACGTATTCACGATCTACATATACACCAACAAATCTAAACACGAGCTCTTTAATCCGTAATGTATTTGTTATCTAGAATAGAAATGAAAGAACAGGCTGCTGTAGAAACTGAAACTCTCAAAAATTTCCAGAAAAACAATATTTCTAAAATTTATAAGATTCTATTTGAGTACGATACTTAGACTTATATTATCTCGACAGGAAAAAGACCAACATTCTTTCTGACCTAAAATATTACAAAGTATACGACAACCATACCTAAAAATCTAAGTGTTCGAAATGGGACTCTATAAAAAGCTGAGAAGTACTTCGTTTATAGTCAAGATGTTCTCAGATGAATTTTGAGGTCTGAAAAAAACAAATTCACTTAACTATGTTCGATGGAAATCCCCTCGAAGAAGTCGATAAAATGTCTTTTTAAATTGTTGGTTTGCCAAAGCATAACAGAAAGGGTTGATAGGGCTGTTAGCGTAGCATAGGAAATAGGTAAAGTAAAACAAATGATAATTGACACATCCAGCTACATCGGTGCAAAACCCTTCCACTAATGCACAAATGTGGTATGGAGTCCAACACAACACAAACGCTCCTAAGATGAAGGAAATAGTTCTCAATGCTTTCCTTGCACGGTTTTCCGATTTCGACTTTTGTCTTTTTTCTTTCATATATTTTTTCCCTTTTCGTCGCTTCTTTCCCAAAGAAGTAACAAAAGCTGTTTTGGAGCAGGTTGTCACAAAGCCTTTAGATGTTGTGGCCATGGCCACTGTTATTGATTGATCATGGTCTACCATCGGCTGCAGTTCATCTGGATGTGCAACTCGCGTTACCGTTTTCAAATCAGACATATTTTCTACCTGCATGCTCACGACGCTGTTTTTCTTCTTATGTTGTTGAGGGTGAACAGCAGGAATGTCATAAAATACGACAGGATCAGTGTTCACTGCCTTGTCTTTTGTACGAGGTTCAAGAGCACCATCAGCTGGTGGAGGAGTGTCTGCAGGCACTGCTTCACACGTCGGAGATGTCATGGCAGCAGAGCTTTCTTGATCAATATATCTCATGTCATTGGTTTCCAACTGTTCTAAGAGTTTTTCTTCCCTTACTGAAGCCAAGTTAAGGGTCTTAGGAGGATTTGGTCTTTCATTGGTGTTGATAGATCTTTCTTCTGGTGTAATTGTGTTCAGTACTTTATTGTTATCATTGTGAGTTATCACTTCTAAGGCTAAGGAAGACTCTTCGTTAGTAGGAGTGATAATATTTTCAGTTTCCAGAAGATTCTGATGTTTAATTGTGTCTTTAACAGAATCCAAAGGTAGATGCCTTTGCAGAGCCGATGGTGGAGGAACTAATTTAGGGATTGGTTCGTCGGTAATTGGCGATCTGGCAATGTTTGTATTTTTAGTCAAGTCTCGTTTATTGTTAAGAAGAACAGCCTTGGCTGAGGGCTTGACCTTGCTAGCTTTTTCTGGCTTTTGATAATTTTCCTCATCAGAGTCAAACATTGGACTACTAGATCGGTCTGGATCAGAAGCATCTTTCCTTTCTGAGAAGCTGGTGGTTTCTGTATTTCCAGTTCTGTATGACAAATTTTTCTGACTGGCTGACAAATCACCACTTCCGTGTCCTGCAGTTTGAGGATTCTGGAGGTTCATTTGGCCAGTAGAGGGAACTGTATTTATGTTACCTGCGTGGGTAGGTTTTGGCTTGTCTTGACTTAATAAAGTACTCTGTGTTTTTGACATCCCGATTGGTTTGTTTTCCGCAGTTGTTCTTCCCATAGCAACAAGGCTCTGCATTTTCTTTTGTTTTGCTGCTGATCTTTTTTGCATGTCACTAGCTGTTTTATATATTCCTCCATACAGAACAAAGAGCACTACTAACGTAGCATAAAAATAGCCAAAGATAAGAGATGTATTGAATACGGGATCTTTAAGAAATTGTACAGCACACTCTCCAGGATTCAAATCTCTGTAACCGATAAAATGTTCCCATCCCATGATGCTTATAAAGAAGACTAGAAAAGGAATAATCCACGTGATTGCTACCATGAATATCACCTTGTTTCTGGTACGCCAACTTCGATATTTTGCAGCAATATTTACGGAGCAATATCTGTCGATGGTGATGAGAAGCACTGTATAAATAGACACCAAGCAGACAGTGTGGTCAGTAGCTAACCACAAGTCACAAGGAATTGGGCCAAGATCCCAGCGACCCACCAGCACATAAACAGCATAGAACGGCATTGAAACAATTCCAATAAGAAGATCTGATACTGCTAAAGAAACTATAAAATAATTACTTGGCTGTCGAATGGCTCGTTCTACAGCAAAGGCCATTAATACCAAGATGTTACCAGCAACTGTCAGTATAATGCACAAACCTATGGAGACAGCTATAAATATTGTTAGCCACATCGCATATGGTGGTACAGGAATATCAGTAAGTTTAGTTGTACTGTTAGTGGTATTTTCACAAGTAATCGTGTCATTTCCACTAGATTGGTTACTGAAACACAACACCGAAAGAGCATCCACAAGTTCCATGTTATCTTCCACTAGAAGTCCTTTGACCTCTGATACTGTAGAAATGGATGTCGTAAACCAGTCATAAATGGAAGAAAAATTGACTACTAAAGGCCTACTAGTGGTCCGGAAGGACACATGACTGCTATCGTTTGAAGCAAGTGGTGTTAGGTGTGATCTTGAATCATTCATAGGCAGGGTATGGGCCACAATTGTTTCATTAGGTGTACTGGAGGTCATGGTTAAACTGAACAACGAAGTTTCCTCTTAGTAGCTCTTGACAGAAATTAGTCCCAATCACATCTTATTTCTGGAAAATAAAACAGAAAACTTACTTTCCTGTTTATTAATGATGAATTCTGTATAACATAAAATATGTAAAACGCTCATAAAACTAATTAATAAGAAATATAGTTTGAGGATAGAATATTATAAAAGCAACATAATATGAGCCTAAAACTACACTACAATCATGTTCAGAGAATGGGATGACTTGCACATATGTATATATATCTTTCAAGTGGTTATAATAGTCCATTCCCACGTGAAATTATGAGTGTGTATAAATGATATATTTGTCAAATTTGTTTGAAAACCAACTTGTACAAAACCTGCGGTTGCTTGCGTCCATGAAAAACTGCAATTGAGATTTCCTTACTTACATACACTCCACATAATACAAACCAAATGTTAAGTTAGCAAAACTTTTATATTGAGAATCAAAAACATTAGAAAATTTCTCAGCATGCTAATATATATTTTAAATGGCTGCAGTAGACACCACTCTTTGATTACTATTCTACAATTCCATTAGATTTTTTAAAAATATACTATGCTAATTTTAGTCTCTGAGATCATTCCACTGGTTAATGGTAAAATCAATTTAAAAATATCAAATATTCATAAAGCTTTTGGATCTCTAGATTATAATATACTCCCCAATCATTGGTAGGAAACACTTTTCGAAGTACAAATAATGAATAACCAGTAACTAATTAATAGATACGTAGTTTAATTATTTTACATCTTCTCAACCACAAACTTTATTTTCACCTCCTTGTCTTTACACAATTCTGCATGAAACAAGATACTCATAAAAATGAAATTTATAGGTTTATGGACATTTTCATATTGACCGGAAAATAATAACTAACAAAACAAATCATATGAAAAGCGAATGTATCCGCTCAAAGCATTGAGAACTGTTTAGCATAGTCACTGTATGCTTGATTCAGACATTCCTCTGGATACTGATCTGTGGAAGGTGGTTTCCTTCCTCCATAAAGACATTTACCAAAACATGGAGATTCACTTACTATACAAGAAAAAACAAAACCGAAACAGCATGCTAAACGGAGATACAGATGTCCTTCACTGGGTTGATCAATGGAGTCCGAGCGAGCCATTACATTTGGACAGTGATTTCCGTATTAATGAAGTCATTCACGGTCCGATGTCATTGTCATTCATAACGACAATTTTTGCACTAATTAAATTAGTGTACCACTTCTCATATACATTCAGAATCTCATTCATGTATCTGATACTTGTCAAATAAACGTCCAAGATCACCTGGAGGTCAGTCTTGCCAATGAAGCAAACAATACCCAGACTAGGATAGACCACCACTATAGCAGTTGTACCAAGACAACTTTGTATTGTGATAGTGCTTCCCAAGTCTGGCAACACGGTCTGTGAAAGCAAGACAAAATGTGGATATATCCCAGAAAAGCGTGGAATCGTGGCTTGTTTAAACTAGGTTATCTTGCTTTTGATGCTGGGTCAATGAGGTCCTAATAGAAACTTTTCGTGACCGTAAATCAACCTCCTTCGGTCTATTACGGACTGTATGGGTCTGTATAAGAACTCTAAACGTGTTGTGAAGGTCAAACAGAACTTCTGTGCTACCTGAAAAACAATCTGTGTGGTCAAGAAGTAGTTTTTTCTGAGGTTTGTTGTCCTTTCGCCCTTCTTCGGCCAATTTCATGCCATATCCTTATATTTCGTGGATTTTTGTGTTGTTTCTAAGCCCGAGAAACTACACTTTAGTTTAAACCTAAAGCACCAATAGCATAACGATGAAACATACCATTATGTACCATACAGAGACTATGTGACAATTCCCTCAAATTTAAATGTCTTCTGTTATGTATCTCATCAATAATGTTGCAAAATGCCATTGTTAAAACATTAGCTACGAACATTGTAAAATAACTCACATGGCAAAACGCGTCCCATTCGGCATAAATTGTTTTATTGTAGAAATATGTGATATTCATGTGAGTGTTAGTATGCTAGAAATGAACAGGAGGGAAATACTCATCCACCCTGTGCTGTAATATAAGGTCCACTACCTCCCATACCTCTTAAAAGTTTAGAAAATGTTAAGTATTTGTTAGCAATGAAAAACAGTGATCTGTAGCAAAGTTTGAGTAGTATATCTCATCATGCACTTTGAATTTCCAAACGATATATATATTCAAGGAAACTAAACATTTTTATATTATCTGTATATCACTGTTGTTATTTATACGTCAACGATTGAATAAGTTACTTTAATGTTGTTTTTCTGACTAACTATTAAATTCATACGTTATAGAATAATCTAAAATTGGTCAGATTTTTCTGAAATCAGAGCTCTTAAGAATTTAATTGACTGTTGTTGTTTGCTTGTTATTTTTTAGAAATTGTGTTATATGTAATCTACGAAAGACACAATAGTTAGGGTTCTAAAATTGAATATTAAATATTACATACATACAATTTTAATTTTTACAATATATTCTTAATAACCTAAAAATATTTTAATCGAAAGGATAAATTTCAAAGTTTATTTGCCTTTTCTCTCACTTCAAAGGATCGTATGTCTTCAAACGTAATATTTCAAAGAAAGGAAACATATTTTATAGAGATCTTCGGTTCTATATAAGTTGATGAATAGTAGAGACCAGCTGTCCATGGGGGGTCTTCTAACGTCCACATTTCTCTTTATCCCGGCCGTCTTTACAAACGTACCTGTAAAGATGAAGAAAACCTACATAAGTAACAGTAGGTGCCACTAACACCACATTTGAAAGTTTACGATGTATATTGTTTTTAGATAACATAAACTTGATCTATTTTAATATTGGGAACATTGTGTAATTTTAGTAATATTGAATGACCGCTCGTTAAAAGACAAATAGAGAAAGACTGATTAATTTGCTATTTAAATCATGTTAACCAGAATAATTAAACTGGTCAATTAATATTTTTTCTATGACATGTACAGCCCACCACGCAGGGACAAAACGTTATTTTTAAAACAAAAATAACAACTTGCTTGCTTAGTATTGTACTATGCCACATTATAGATCGAGATATACACAAGTCAAATGTTAATTAGTATCAATATATGTGTCATGTTCGCTGAAGAACATGGCGTAACATATACATGTTTTCTGAGGATAGTCAAATTAGCACTTAGCTAGACAATGTTCAAAATCTTTACAGAAATTCCTGACCTTAAAAATCGGAATGAGTCAAAGCACAATGAATCTGGTGGTCCTAAAATGTGAGAAAGGTGAAACATTAAAGACTATCATTTCCATTATGAATAAATCTTATGCTTTAAAATACATCAATATTCCTTTTTATCAAATAGTCCGAATGATTTGAATATAATTGGGTAATCTGATGAGTAAAGGGAAAAACAACATACTTTTACCTTACGCAATTCTTATAGTCGATATCGTCATCTAAGTCCTGAGAATGTTTTAACAGGATATATCTCGTAACAACGATATCATAAATTCGCATATTTTAATTATTTATTGAAAGAAAAGTGTTAGAATTAAAAATATTCCGAAATAGTACTAAATGATGTGGGAGAAAGTAAAAACAATGTTGTAAAAAAATTTTGTCATTATTAACCGCGCTTTAATTTAGTTCCCGTTCTTACCTATGTATGAATACAATTTTATTACCAGAATATTTTAGTTCATTATTTGAACAAGTTTTAATGATTTATTATTTTATTAGAAGTTACAGTTTTTACAGTAAGGAAGGTTTGTTTCGATCATTTTCAAGTAGACAAGTTTTAACGGTAAAGAAGGTCTTAGTATTCAAATTCTAGAATTGATAGTGGTTACTTATGCGTGTGCATATCAATCCGCGTGAATTTACAGATATTTATTTATGGCTGAACAGAAAAAAGCAAACAGAAAGTGAATATATATAAAAAATATGGAGTATATTATATGAAATATTTGCATAATATTAGGAATGTTTGGGGACATACCGATCAAAGACATATAGAGATGTGCCTACGTATTTGTTAATTGTGCAATTGTTTGACTTTCTTAATAAAGCTTCTCTGACTTTTCTTCTGCTACTGTCAGATTGGAGTTTTAGTACTGTGACATTCTGTTCAGAAAAATGTGTTTGTTTTCGTCCATATGCTCATGGAGTTGGAAAGGGGGATTTTGGCGTTCTTTTAACCTGACATTCCAGTTACGCCCTGTTTCACCAATGTAAATGGCTGGGCAACATTTTGTAAATGTTTCCTGGTGAGATGGGTCTGTTATATAATTTTGTTAACATGTGTTTACTTTTAATTCCAGGAGTTAAAACGAATCTAGTCATTATGTTAAGGTTATATTTATTTGCTAGTCTTTTCCAAATTTTTGATAGAGGCATGTTAATATTTTCTATATCTAAGATATTGCAATCTATTAGGTTTCCTTTGTTTTGTGGGGTGTTTTTTGAGTTTGTGTGTTTCTTAGCTGTGTTTTCTTTAAATTCGTTAATAGTTTCTATAACTACATTAGTAAAGCATTGAGTTACGTGCGCAACGTTTTCATCAATGTTTCTGTGATGCATATAGTGTATGCTAAATTTAGGAAGCATATTATAGTGCCTAGCTTCTGGTGGATTACATGATTAGAAAACCAGTTTATTTAATTTCCATTGTATGTGTTTTTTCCTATGAATTTTAGTGGTGAAGCCTTGGGGGGGGGGGGGGTTAGAGTGATGTTAACGTTTAAAACAATGTATCTTGTAGTTGTTTTCATTTTCCACTGTGAATTGCATATTTTTATGTAGGTTGTTTATGTGTTGAAGAAATTTTGTTTTTCATCTTGTCAAGTAAAACCGCAAAAAACGTCATCTGTAAATCTAAGCCAAAAGTTTATGTATGAAAGTGACTATGGCAAGTTGTTCTATGTGATGAAAGAAAAGAGTGGCCAAAGTAATGGATTCCT